GCCCCCGGTCATTGACCGGGGGTCAATTGTGAGACCGGGCGTGAAGCGCGATGGGCCGATGCGCGAGCAACTTCCCTCCAATATCGACACGTTTTCCCCAATCGCGGCGAGCCCTACTGCTTGCCCGTTTTGCCGTGGCGCGTAAAACGAACGGATAGCGGCGTGCTGAATGAAGAGGCGATGCGTCGCCCCCGCTGAAACAAACAAGTACGGAGCTTTGGAACACCATGCGACTTCTCACCCTCACGGCGGTCGCCGTCTCGATCGCGACGGCGGCGCCCCAGGCCGAGGCGTTCTCGCTGTCCTCGATCTCGTCGCTACTGTCGAACTACGGCGTCAACGTGACGCTGCCGGACCGTGAGATCAACTTGCCGCCGCGGGTCGAAGAGGTCGCCGCCCGCGCGCTCGGTCGGGCCGAGTCGGTGCTCGATCACGTGCTGGGCGATGGCGGCGTCTTGGACCGCCTCGATATCCCGGACATCGACCTGTCGCACGTCAATCTCCCCGACATCGACCTCCCCGAGATCAACCTGCCGGGCTTCCCTGAGATTGAACTACCGGACTTCAACAACCCCGATCTCGATGCGATCCTCGATAACGCACGTGACCGAATCGCGGAGGCCCGCGCCAGGGCCCGGGAGCGTGTCGACGCCGCGCTCGACAAGGTCGCCGACCGTATCGACAGCGTGCGGGACCGCCTCGAGGAGCGTTTCCCGGACTACGAGTTCCCCGACTACGAACTGCCGATTTCGCTCGAAGGCCTGATCGACGAAGCGCACGGCGTGCTCGATGACATTCTCGACGATGAGACGCCGAGCGTCGCGTCGCTGCTTTCGTCGGAAAGCCTCCCGCCCATCGTCGCCCAGACCTTCCATTCAGCCAGCAGCAGCGCGAGCTACTTCTCGCTGCCGGCGACCGCGTCGGTTGCGGTCCCCGAGCCAACCACGGCGCTGCTTGGCGCTGCGGGCCTGCTAATGGCGGGCGTCACCCGCCGCCGCCGCTAAGCGGCTTCTGGCGTCCGTCGCCGTAGATGAAATGGCGACCGCAAGAACCGGACGCTAAGGCGTG